TACCTCACTGAGCTTCATATGGGTTTACAACTCTAAGGATATACAAAGAATCATCTTGTTGATTTCCACAAAAAATTCTATTGTGAATTTGGGGTTGCATTGAATCACCACAGGGTTCTGGTCAGTTTAAGGAGAGCTGACAGTTTACCACTATCACCTTTCATTTCATGAACATGGCATATCTATTTACATCCTCTTTGATTTCCTTACTCAGTATTTTGTAGTTTTCATTTTATTGATCTTGAACATATGTTTCGTTTGGATTTTTTTTTTTTTTTTTTTTTTTTATTGCCCTGGCCGTGTAGTTCAGTAGGTTGGAGTGTTCCGATGCTTCAGGATTGCGGGTTTGATCCCTGGTTGGGACACATGCAACCAACCAATGAATGCGGGGATGGGTGGAGCAACAAATTGTCTCTATTTCTCCCTTCCTCTCGCTCTCTAGAATCAGTAAATTAAAAAAAATTTTTAATTTTATTGATGTTTTTGACATTTTTGGTGCTCTTGTATTTCTTATTATCTTTTGCTATTTTGTAGAAATAAAATTGAATTTTTTTGTTGACCTTGTATTCTGCAACATTGCTAACATCCCTTGTAGTGTTTTTTTGGTAGGGTCTGTACTTTTTTTTTTGTAGGCTCTTTGGGTTTTTGTATATAAAATGTCATATTGTCTGGAGTAGACCTAGTTTTATTTTTCAATTTTCAATCTGTACGCTTTTTTTTTTTCTTTCTTCTTGCTTTCTCGCACCAGCTGGGTTCTCCAGTGTGATGTTGACTATTGGGGAGAACAGTCATCCTTGACTTGTTCTTGATCTTTGGGGAAAAGCACTTAGTCTTTCATCATTAAGCATGATATTAGCTTAATATTTTTTAAGATGTTCTTTATCAGACTGAGGCAGTTCCTTTTTTCCTCTAGTCTCCAGAAAGTATCAGGAATGGATGTTGAATTTTGTCATCCGCATCTATTCAGGTGATCAAATGGCTTTTCTCTTTTAGTCTGTTAATACGGTGAATTATATTGATTGGTTTTCAAATGTCAAATCAGTGTTAATATTCCTGAAATAAAGCTCACTTTACCCTTTTTATATACTGTAACGTTTGATTTGCTCACATTTTGTTGAAGATTTATGTGTCTAAATTAATGAGGGATACCAACTTGTTTTCTTTTAGTGTAATGTTTGTGTGTTTTTGGTTAAAAAAATAATGCTGGCCTCTTAAAAGAATTGGGAACTGTTTTTTTCCTTTTTTTTATTTCCTGTTAGAATTAGTGTAGAATGCAATTATTTCCTTCTTCAACTGTCTAGAATTTGCCAGCACAGCCCTCTGAATGCGAAGCTTTACGTTTTGGCAGGCTTAAAGATACAGATTCAGTTTCTATAATGGATATGGGCCTCTTCAGGCTATATGTTTCTCCTTGAGTGAGTTTATTAGTAGTTTATGTTTTTTCAGGAAGTAGCTTTATCTGTTCAGCTTATCCAAGTTGTTGAATTTATGGACATAAAGTTTTTTGTAATATTTTCTTATTATTTCTGTAATGTCTGTAGAACTTGTATCTTTCATTCTCGATATTGGTAATTTGTGTCTTTTTTTTTTTTCTTAGTCTGGGTAGGGGTTTATTAACGTTATTGATTTATTTGAAGAACCAGCTTTTGGTTTCATTCATTTTTCTCTGGGTTTTCTGTTTTTAATTTTTATGATTTCTGCCCTTACTGATATTATTTTTTCCCTTTTGCTTGCTTTGGGTTTAATTTGCTATTTTTTTCCTCATGTCCTGAGTTGGAAGCTTAGGTGATGACTCGAGAATCTTCTTTTCTAATATAAGCAAATTTAATGTTTGTAAAGTAAAAAATGACCACTCTTTCATTGCTTTCCTCTCGTTGCTTACTTGCCACCATGGAGACAACCAGTGTTACTTTTCCAGTGTCCTTTCACAGGTAGTTTATACGCACACATGCACACGCACGTGCTCCTCGACTTGCGATGGAAGTATGTCCCAATAAACCCATTGTAAAGTTGAAAATATTGTAAGTTGAGAATGCATTCAATACCACACAGTAGAGGACCAGTTGTTTTCCCTTGTGATTGCATGGCTGACTGGGAGCCTATGGCTCACCGCCCCTGTTTAGCATCATGGGAGAGCATCATGCTGCACGTTACTAGTCCAGGAAAAATTCAAAATTTGACATGATTTCTACTGAATGCGTATAGCTTTTGCATCATGATAAAGTTGAAAAATTCTAAGTTGAATCATCATAAATTGGGGACTGTCCATAAGAATATTATTTTTGCTCTCTCCTTTTAAACATAATTGCTAGACTGCATTGTAGCAGTAACTTTGTTCCATGCCTTGCTTTTTCTACTAAGTAAACTATCTTAGATATATTCTTTATCTTTCATATATTATTTTTCTTCTTTTTTATGATAGCATGACTAGCCAGTCTTCTATTAGTGGACATCCAAGGACGGGGCCTGAGCCTTGGTATTTTTACTTTTTTATATATTTTTATTATTGAAACTTTTATTATGGAAAATTTGATACATTGCAGTTTATGTATCTTAAGTGTTTTTTTTAACTTACAGGCTTCCCCTTCTTCATTTTTCCCTTAAACCATTAGCTTTGTCCAGTAATAGTAACTTTCATTTTCCCAGGATTCATTTTTTTAAAAGAGTAGTTATTGAGAAATAGAAAACAACTACAGAAATATACAGACACTGAAGTACAGTTAAAAATGACTTACTGTAAAGCAAGCATGCGCAAGCCCCTCGGAGGCCGGGAAATGGAGCGCTGTCTGCACCCCGGAAGCTCCTTTCTGTGTCGCAACCCGCTCTTCCCCCAGACCGAGTCAGTATCATGATGTTTGTGGAAACCTCTTCTAAGGTTTATTTTTACTTTCCCCTGCGGAATTCCCCGGATAGTCTTGCTTCATGAAATGTGTCTGCAAAGAATGTTTTGAGCATGTTTACCTTAAAAAATGTCATTAGCTGTGTTAGCAAGGCTTAACCCCTCTGTTTGAGAGCCCTGCTTCATCCTTGCTTTGCTGATCCCTCAGACTTCTTAGCTGTAAGTGGTCAAAACCATCTCTGGCTAAGATACTAAAAGGGTGTGAGTCTTACTAAAGACTCCCTGAGAGTGTTGGGAAAGTATAGGCCTGAAGGTCACACTGCCAAGATCAAAGCGCAGAGTCACACAAAATGGTCTCACAAAACACTTCTGCCACCAATCTGGGAACCGACATTACTGCTTCTGCCCCGAACACACACTGGTGCTGGGCTGCGTGTGCTGCCGCGAGAATCCCCCTCTGCTGCCTCCGGACGCTGGATGTAGCTGCTCTGGCAGCTGCCGCGCTCTCCAGGTGGACTCTTTGGAGTCCCAGCTTCTAAAAGATAATAGTTTTCTATTTGAAGTCTAGAGGTGCATCTTATTGGTGGGCCTTGTGTCAGGTGGCCATGTCTGAGTTTCAAAGAAAGATGGGAAAGCAGGTATCTCAGGGTTTTTTTTTTCCCTTTTTCAATATTTTGTTAGTGGGAAGAGTACTTGTCACATAATGTAGGGTCTCCTTAAATGTGGACTCAACAGTTGGATAGTTGGTGACCAGAAGGAAACATCCACTGTAAAAGTTCCATATCAGTTCAGTTTTACAGATCTGTTCATTTTAACATAATTCATGCTCTTTATGTGACATTGCCTCATATAATGTAGTGGACATTTGACATAGGAATATTCCTCACCATTTCCAGGTACTATATAAGACAGGAGGACAGTATCTACATTTCTAAAGAACTATATTTAAAACACCCCATCTTAATTTTAACTAGTTGTAGGGATTTCTGTTTTATCTTATGAATAAGCTTAATGAGATGTAATAGTTAAAAATTTCATGGCGATGTTTTCACTGAGAACCTTCTGGCTTACAGATAATTTGCCTTTTTTCAGATATGATCTTACTATATACAAAGATTCGGAAAATGGGAGACACTTAGTAAATATAAATAGAATCATATAATATAGTAAATATAAATGGCAAGTATAACAGGGTCATTAGTAAATATAAATAGGACAACACTTGCTTTGTAAAACTCAGATAATATCATTGTCATTTTTGCACAGGTATTTTAATGAGTTACTATGAAACTTTGTGAGAACAAGCTATGAAAAACTAGCACAAAAAACCCTTGTTAGCTTACATATGATCATTTTAAAAACCGGCCCCCGGAGCGTGCATGTGCTGTGGAGCCAGGGCGTGGCGGGCTGGACGGAGCAGGACCCTTGCTGCTTCGGGGCCTTGCTGACCCTGCCTTGGCCCCGCGGGTGCTGTGCGGCAGTGCTTTGGGTAATTCATTGATGCTCTTCCACATTTCGTCTTTCCAGTTCTTAAAAAAAGAATTACTGCTGCTGACCCTTCCCCTTCACTTTTCTCACAGCTGTGGTTTGGGAAGGTCTGAGACAGGTGTGATTGAGCTTCTTAGAGTAAACACATGGTATCATAAAGGTTGTCACAGTAAAAACAAACAAAGATGAATGTACTGTAAAATCTCTATAGCAATGTGCACCCTGTTAGTTTACTACATAACAATAAACTGTTGTTATAATATGTTGATGGAAGGACACATTTCTGAATTAGTATTCAGAACAAGTGGTGCCTCAGTTTTGAGTACTTAAAAACGTGGCAGCTGTCGATTTAATGGGCCAAATTGATAAGAAATGTACTTCTTGTTCATCCAGGCGGTCTCTGCCTACACAGCCAGTAGAAATTGCTTTACAAAATGTTTATAAAACTAATTCCCAAATAATTTGGGTAACAGGTAGTTTTAACAGTACTCACCTAGTGTCGATGAAGCCTTAATTCTACAAAGGAACAAAAAATTTGAGGTTTCTAAAAATCCAAGGTAATGTGGCAGAAAAGGGTAGGGATTAATTTCCTGGTTGCTTGATGTTTAATGGTACATTCGATTGCTTTTGTGGTTCCAAATAGCAATTATATCTAATGTAATTTCTTTTGCAGCGAGGGCCGAGGCAAGATGACGGTATTTTCAGTTAAAGCTATGTTAGCGACCATGTGTGGTGGAAAAATGCTGGACAAATTGAGATGTAAGTATTTTCATATTATTTGAAAAATTGTATTTTCAAATTAGGACTTTTAAACAGTTTTAAATGAATGTTTTCAGAATTTTGGATGATGTTATGTTAAACATTTTTGTTTACTAACACATCACTCACCTGACTCAGAGTATGTAAATTATGCCACCTACTGTTCAGAGGGAAAAGTTGGTTGAATTAGTTTGTTTAGTGTTGTTTTTTTTTTAAGTTTAAAGCAAGAAAATTGAAGAGATTCAAAGCAGAAATGTTGACATTTTAAAAATTCTTTTAAAAATGGTTTCTATATTAAAAATTATGTTTATAGATGATTATGTTGACTATTTTTATTTTTTAATATATTTTTTATTTTTATTTTTTAGAGAGGGGAAGGAAGGAGAGAGGGAGAGTAACAGCATTGTGTGGTTGCCTCTCAGCGCCCCCTACTGGGGACCTCACCCACAACCCAGGCATGTGCCCTAGACTGGGAATCAAACTGGTGACCCTTTGGTTTGCAGGCTTGCACTCAATCCACTGAGCCACACCAGTCAAGGTGATTGTTTTTAGTTAGAAAATAAATTTGATTATTTTTACTAGGTTTTGTCAAGGTTAGCCCTTTTCTTAATAACTCCATTCTTCATCATGTGAAGATCATGTGGTGTTTTCTGTGATTAAACTTCTTTTGCACCTTACAGTCAAGCTCAGTTATTTAGAAATCGAGAGCCTGCTTTTCCAGTTATCTTTCCTAGTTTTTTCCTTACTATTGGCCATTTGGGAATTTTATTGTTCATTAGATACTATAAAAAGGTGGTTAGATGAAATCAGAGGAAGCAAAATTCACAATTATTTAATATTTTTGCTTTGATTTTTATTTATTCACTCTTTAGATAGTTACTAACTGCTTAAGATATGCCAAGCACTGTGCTAGGTGCTTTACATATATTTTCTCACTGAATCCTTAAAATTTCTTTGAGAAGCAGGTAGTATTTTGTCCATTTCATGGATGAGTTAACGGAGGGGCGAAATTTGGATTTCAACTTCAGAGCCCTGCTCCTGGCTACTTTGCTGTACCTCACTGTGCTGGTCCTGTGCAGTGAGCCAAGTGCCGTAATACAGGTCCCCATAGAGTAGGACACTGGCAGATTTCGGGGGGATAAGATAGAAGCTGTGCGTTTCAGTGAAGTGTGGAGACACCCGGTGAATTGATTTGTTAAAGAGACTGGGCCATCTGTCCTGTAGCGTTTCTCAGAGACTGGATTTTGATGATTGGGTCTCCATGATATTCCTCTGTGCCCTCCATTTTTTGTTTTAATGGGAAGATAGAGGCTTGATCAGATTCAAGTAGAAGCTTTTGGGTAAGATTAATTCATAGGTGCATTTGTTTTCTCTGCTTTTCTTTTCTTTTTTTTAATCCTCACTCAAGGACATGCTTATTGATTTTAGGGAGGGAGGGAGGAGGAGGGAGAGACAGAAAGAAAGAGAGAGGGGAACATTGATGTGAGAGAGAAATACTGATCTGTTGCCTCCCATATGTGCCCTGGGATTGAACCTGCAACCTAGGTATGTGCCCTGGCTGGGAATCAGAACTGCAACTTTCTGGTGTACGAAGTGATGCTCCAATCAACTGAGCCACCCAGCCAGGGCTGTGCTTTTTCTTTTCCTTTTGGTTTTATCTTATTTATTTGTGTGTGTGTGTGTGTGTGTGTGTGAGAGAGAGAGAGAGAGCGCGCGAGCGAGCGTGCGAGAGCGCGCGCACATGCGCGCTAGCGCATGCGTGCATGAGTGAGGGAGAGAGAGAGAGTTTGAATTCTTCTTTTTAAAAAATGAATCTGCTTTTTCTTACATGTGACCATGACATTGAAAGTTGGAGAGCTAGATGGCTCACTAGATACAGATCTCAAAATTCTAAAGCAAGATGTTAGATAATGTGTTTGGTCAAACTGTTATCCGGTTTGTCTTCATTTCAAAAGCAGCTGCAATGCCAAACAAATTTTTAGTAGTGAAAATTATTGTTTTATTTAAATCCTTTTCTGGGTTTTTTTTTCCACATGGTAATATTACTCTTTTGGGCTTAAATTTTTTAATATTTTAATTTTAGCATGGTGTTTTTCTGAGGAAGACAATATAATATGAATGCAATTTTATTACATTCAAACAGAAAGAAAAATAAAGTTGAGATTTTGTTATTTAATGATGACAATACCAGATAGAGAATATATGACATCAGCTCTGGCTGGTGTGGCTCAGTGGATTGAGCACCAGCCTGTGAAGCAAAGGGTCACCGGTTCCATTCCCAGGCAGGGCTGTGGGCCAGGCCCCGAGTAGGGGGTGCGTGAGAAGCAACCACACGTTGATGTTTCCCTCTCTTTCTCCCTCCCTTCCCCTCTGTGGAAAAATAAATAACATCTTTAAAAGAAAAAAGAATATATGACGTCATACATTGTACATCAACATGTGTTTCAGGGTCAGGGTGAGAAGGTGAAGGGAGTAAGAAGTACAACTGGTAGTTACAAAACAGTCACGGGGGTGTAAAGGGCAGGTAGCAGTGTCCAGCGCTTGGCCCGGGGTTACTACGAAAGCAGCTCAACACAAAATCATAAATTTACTTAAATCCTTTTTTTTACTCAATCAGTTTTTGTTAGTGGTTATGTATTTAATGTGTGGCCCAAGACAACTCTTCTTCCAATGTGGTCCAGAGACACCAAAAGGTTGGATATCCCCGGTAGGGAATATTAGTGTAGTCAATGCATTGTAATACCATTGTGTGGTGCCAGGTAGGTACTAGACTTATGGGGGGGGGGGTCACTTTGTAAATTCTGTAAATTTCTAACCACTAGACTGGACATCTGGAGCTAATATAAAATAGTATTGAATGTCAACTGCAATTGAAAAAATAAAAATTTAAAACATGGTTAAAAATATATATACATTGCCATCTTAATTAGTACTGAATAAACTGATTGAAAATAAAAAGTTGATTATGTAAATGCACATTTTATATGGCTCTGGAATTATTAAGTTTCTATGATTAAATCTGCTACCCCTATGTAGAACAGATACCTGGCACATAATAAGTGCTAAGATTTTGCCAAATATAAATTGTTGATTGAGTGGTTTAAGTACTGAAATTTTCTGTCGTTACTGTTAGTGAAAAGGTGCACATTCTAGTACTGTGTGAAATATGGAAGGGATCCAAGTGACAGCAGTTTTGTTCTTTTAATTGATGTGGCTTTTGAACTTCTTGGAGGCACACAAGTGACCAGTATTCAAGTGGCATGAAAGCGCCCATGCCCAGGCAGACATGACGTGTCAAGTGTGCTCAGAATGCCAGGTCATTGCACGCTGTATGTGGGTTGATGAGTTAAAGGCCACGCTAAGTCACTCATTACTGTGTTTATATTATTCAGATAGATTTAAAATATGGCTTCATTATCTTCTTCATGTTCAAAATTATAGTTGCTTTACCATCTGTCGCTGTTTCATTATTTTTATTACACCATAAATAGCTGGAGAATGAGATGTTTATAATAAGCAAAATAATAGGTATTGAAGCCTATTTCCCCTTCTTAATTTTGATCATCCAGAGCAGAGATCAGTGTAAATGTGGTCTTCCCTCTCATATTAAACAGAGCTCACTGATCATAATTTAAACATGTTTTCACCTCTTAGGGATGTCATTCTCTGATGCATTTAGGGCTAATTGTGAGGCTCTGGGTTGTTTGTCCCATGTCATGTTTTCAGACTGTTGTGCCTCTTCAGTTCTTGAGTGTTTGTTGTTGTGGTTGTTTGTAGTGATGGTGATGGTGTGTGTGTGTCCTTTATCACTGGAGGATGTGATGGTACTATCAGTGCACACGTTTCTGCAAATCTCTCTTTGCTTCTGATTTACTTTTGATATACTACTGAGAGAGGAAACATAACCAAACTTCTTAGTATTCTCTTTAAAGGAAGGAGATTATGGATTACTCATATATCATGAGAAAAGCCCTTGAGCCTTTGTAGTATGGTTGGCAGTTTTGGCTGTTGGGAGAATCCTTTTTTCCCCCCTGGCTTTCTAGTTCCCAGCTATGTTCTATGTAGTTGAAGTAGCTGAATAATAGTGTAGACTAAAGTAATATGTAACACTCATTGTAACATCAAATAATATTTGACCATTTATTCACTTTCTTCAACCTACTTACTCCATTGTCTCTGTTGTTCTTAGTTTCTCCATCTTCTTACCACTGGCAGTACTCTGCTATTATCTCTGTTAATGTTCCTATTAAATTTGGTTTCCTAATTTTTGGAATATGCCTTAGTGTTTCTACTTTTCTCACTTTTGTTTTGATCTTTCTGTTTTTTACCTTTTCCTGTCAATTTTTCCTATAATTTTGTCCCCTCCTTTTTTTATTTGATATATTTTTTTGTTTGTTGTTTTAGTGTCAAGATAGCCTTTGAAATGACTTAATCAATATTTGTGCTTTTAGTTTCAAACTTTTCTTAATTAGAGTTTTCATATCTCTCTTAAGAGAGCTTCTGTCCCAGGTATCGTTTATTTACAGAAATGGCTCACTGTTGTGGCTGTAAAGGACTATATCCTAGATTCAAAGATAATTTAGGTTAGGATTCCAAATACAATACAAAAGATTTGTAATGAGAATGTAGACTTTAATTATAAACATGATTGAAACTCAGTAATGTCAGAAACCCCCAAAATAATTCAGAGAACAACAAAATTTAGACTTAAAACCTATTACTTGTTGCATTGTACTGAATTGTCAATTTAAGTATTTGATATATACTTTGTCTAATTCTGCTGCTTGTTGTCTGAGAAACTCAGCCTACTCTTATTGAAACCCCATCTGTTGTGCACTAAAAAATAGGAGATGATTCATGTAATTTATTTTTAAGTTCTTTAAAAATCCGGGGTTCCCATTTTGAAGGGCCAGTCTAACAGTATGTATCGGGAAGATTGTAACAATATGTATTGGGAAGATTGTAAGAATATTTATATCCATTGACTCAGTCTGCTACTT